TGGTGCTGTTAGTCTGCAGCACCTCCCTCCTGGGAGAAGCCAGAGGGGCAGGGCAGCTGCCTGCAGGCCCAGGGCAGGGTGCTCAAGGGGAAGAGAAGCCTGGGAATGCAAACTGCATTTGCTAAATCATGTAAGAGCAACAGGCAGCAGGAACCAACAGCTTCCAAAGACTAAAAACTTCATGAACTTGTTTGGTCCTATAATAACCGTATGATCGCCCCCATGTTACATATGAGGAAACTGAGGCACAGAGAGGTCTCACAGGTCATAAATGGCAGAGCCTAGGATTTGCTGGCTCCAGGCTCCTCTCCTACCCCTCAGAAGTGGCCTGTTGGGAAGCTTTCAAAGGTCCAAACTATAGAGGTAGAAAAGGAAAAAATGCAAGGGCACCAGCTAGAAACTCTTACCAATTCTGGGAGCACTGTCCTTAGGGAGAACAGTGGTAAGGGGCTTGGGCAAAGACCCCACAGGGCGAGTGGCAGCATACCCACCAAGCTCATGCCCTGTAAGTGAAGCCCTCAGGGGACCGTAGCTACCACTGCTTGGCCTCCAGAGTCATGTCCACTGGTTGGATAGGATTGGGTGGTATCGCCCCAAATTCCTGTCCCCTGGAGCCTCAGAATGTGACTTTATTTTTAAATAGGGCCTTTTCAGATATAATTAGTTAAGGATCTTTGAGATAAAGTTATCCTGGATTTAGGGTCCTAAATTCCATGACAGTATGATAAGAAGATACAGGAAGACACATGGAGAATCTGCGTAAAGACAGAGGCAGAGACTGGAGGGATGAAGCCACAAGCCAAGGGACGGTGGAGCCAACGGGAGCTGGCAGTGGAGCAGGAAGGATCCCCCTTAGGGCCTGCAGGGGGCAGCCTCACCAGCACCTTGATCTTAGAATTCTGGTCTTCAGACCCATGAAAGAATAAACTTCTATTATTTAGGCCACAAGATTTGTGGTCATTTACTGCGACTGCTCTCAGAATCTGATGCACCAGGGGCCTCCCTGGTGGCACAAGGGGTAAGTCTCAGCATTATCATACTATCCGCAGCCACTGTGGCCTAAGTTCGATCCCCAGCAAGGGAGCTAACGCACATGGCACAGCAGACCTCTTCTGCCTCGCTCACTGCTCCCCTAGCAGTGTATTTCAGTCAGTCTGACTGTTCTGCTCCCCACTCTGTCTTACCAATTCTGGGAGCACTGTCCTGATGGAGAACAGTGGTGAAGGGGCTTGGGCAAAGACCACAGCGTGAGTGGCAGCATACCCACCAAGCTCATGTCCTGTGAGTGAAGCCTTCAGGGGACCATCAGCTCTACTGCTGATGTGGTAGCCGACCTTTGGCATGTACCTCAGTTCTGTGTGCACAAATAAATAAATCTTTTTTTTTTTTTTTAAAGAAATGGATGCACCAGTGATAAGTTTACAGGAGACTGCAACTTCATCATTCAACTTCTCTTCTCTCATTCTTCTTTTCAATGGGATTTGCAATGTGCTCAACTAAAAATATTCATCTCTCCAAACTCCCTTGCAGCTCAGAAAGGCTGTGGAACTCTCTTTTGAGGGTTCTGAGGCACCAAAACTGCCTGGAGCATTTTTGTACCAAAGTTCATATTTACTGGACAGAAAGGAAGGATGGAAGGAAGGAAGGACCAGGCAGGAGATGGGACTCAGGAGAGACTTCTGGGAAAGCCAGCATCTCCTTGCTCTTCTGGTGAGGTCTCAGACTCAGGGTTCTGCCCCCAACCTCAGCAGGGCAGCCACAATCAGGCTGGCCAGTCTATTCATGGCAACCCCAAACTCCTGACAAGATACAAAACACAACTCTACAGTGGTCTCAGAAGAAACAAGGTAGGACCTGCATAGGGGTCAGCATTAGCGGGAGGGGACAGCCATGCAGGCCTCCTGGGACTCGCAACATTTTCCTGAAGACAACCAGTCAGCACCCTGCAGAGGCAAAGGTGAGAAGGGAAATCCCAGAAAGGAGAGAAGGGCAGACGAGGAAGGTCCGACTCTGTGTGTTAGTTCTGCCGCATCTCAGGCTGACTTCTGACCTGTGTTTGCACAGAACAGGCTCCACACAGCCCAGAGAAGGCCAACAGGACTGAGAGCATTTCAGTGCAGGCCACGGTGGTGGTGCAGAGGTGGGACTGGAGCCCAGATGCGTTCATTTTCTGCTCAAACAAAATGTAACATTCCCATGACGCATTACTCAAAACGGCCAAGACATAACCTGAAATTACCAGACTCACAAAGACACTGAGAAGTTTCCATACTTAAGAGAAGGGAATCAGCAAGTTCCCACTGTGCACAGACTGCCTGTTTTTGAAAATGTAGGGTTATTGGCACAGTCACACTCGCCCACCCGGTGGTCATCTGTGGCTGCTTCTATACGCCACAAGCAAGGTTCACATGACAGGGACGCCTGGCTCACAGCCTGATTGCTTATTGCTGGGTCCTTTCTCAAAGCCTCTGTGAACCCCTGCTCAAGAGAAAAGAAAGTCTATGGGTGGCCTCTTTGGTGGCACAAGGGGTTAGGTCTCAGCACTGTGAAGCTCTCCGCAGCCACTTCAGCATGAGTTTGACCCCTGGCCAGGGAGCTGACCCACATGGCGCAGCAGGCCTCTCCTGTCTTGTCCGCTGCTCCCCTCAGCAGATCTCCTGTTCTGCTCCCCAGTCTGTCTCTGGTGAATCCTCTCACCCCCACCCCCAGATGAAGGCTGGCCTGTACCCCAGTTCTTATATGCATAAATAAATAAACCTTTAAAAAAATACAATCTATGGTGACTACCCCATGATGACCCACATTCTGGAGTGAGCAGATAGAGATCTATGCTGACGTCAGAAAGGGAAGGTCTTTGAAATAAATGACAAAATACCAAATTTCACAATTAGCAAGTAGATGTTCTATAGTTGAAAAACACAGTACTGGAATAAAAGGAAGAGAATCAGCTGCCATCGGATTCTGTCCTGCACCACCTCCCTCTTCCTCCCAGTAATATCCATGACCTGCTGGACATGACCTGGTCATCTTGTAATCGCGAGGCCCAATGCCACGTGCTGAGGGCTGCGGAACAGGACGCCGGGAGGAAGCTGGTCACTGGAGCTTCCCCAGCACTGAACCCTGGCTGGCTGCCTCCCACTATGGCGGGCTGTTACATGCAGCCAAATGCACCCCAAACGGACACCCTGACACATAACGTCAGATCTGCTCCTGAGTGACCTCCCCCAATAGAAGTGAATTGGCAGGTCCTGAAAGAGGTGTGTGTGGCTGTTCCAGATGGCATATGCTTGGGGCCTGTCAGCACCTTACATGGAGCTGGGCTCAGCACAGGGGAGTTCCAATGGTAGCTTTCTGTTGGGCAGGACGGTGGGCCTGGGCTGCTGACAGGAGGTAAGAGGTACTCGTGGGACCTCAGTCACTATCTGTGTATGGAAAGGAAAGCAGGGAGCTCTCTTTTGTGCTGTGTGCTGGCAGCCCAGCTGGTCAGCCAGGACACAAAGGGGCCCTTAGCCCACCTCAGTGCCAGGCCTGGCACTGACAAGGAGCTGGTGAAGGGCCCACCTCTCTGATTCCTGGATCAAGGCTGGTAGTGGTTTGGTTGGCCAAGATGAAAGGGTCAAAAGAGTATAATGAGGTTTTCCAAAACCTGTACTCTGTGGAACAGATTTATTTTTTTCTAAGGGCTTTAAAAGATGTTGAAGCCCCAGTGGCTGTCTAGGATGGGTTTTAGTTTGGTATGAAAAGTTGGAAGGCAGATAGACAAAACAAAACCAAATCAGTCCAATAATACAACGGTTTCAAGACCACCTGCATTTCCTGTTCCTTTTTAAGAAGTGGCCACAGGTTGAGGATTCAGGATTCCATAGCTCCAAGCCGCCCTTCCTTGAGTCCCGGTCACCTCCTGCACAGGGAAGGATGGGGAAGGAGGGTCTCTGTTGGGAGTCAGAGTGAAGGAAGGGGTTTAAAGTTGAGTCAAGGCCCTCCCTGGTGGTGCAATGGGTTAAAGCATGCGTTGTGAAGCTATCCGCAGTCACTGCAGCATGAGTTCGTTCCCTGGCCAGGGAGCTGACCCACACGGCACAGCAGACCTCTCCTGTCTTGCCTGCTGCTCCCCTCAGCAGTGTATTTCAGTAGCTCTGTCCTGCTCCCCACTCTGTCTCTGGTGAATCCTCTCACTTCTGCACCTCTGGCCTGTACCCCAGATCTTGTGTGCATTAATAAATAAATCTTTAAAAAATTAAAACAAAATAAAGCTGCTCGAGTCCAAGATTCTTCTAGCTGCTGCTCGTATCCTTCCAGGAGGATGGGGAGCTCATGCTCTCCTTGCACGGGCCATTTAGTCTTAAGACACTTGTGTTGATTAGATACTTGCTGAAAGCCATCTCCTTGTGCCAGGCACCCGCTGGCATCAGTTCCATGTTGCAAAACAGTGAGTGTTGTGATGTGTGGCAGCTGTGTGTGATCCTCCTGCTTCTACCAACGCTAGAGGCCCACCCACGTGCCCGGCGTCATGCACGTGGTAAAGCTAGGATGCGAGCCCCGGCGAGTCCAGTCCTTGTTCTTGACCTCACTCCACTCCACCTCCTAGAGAGCAAGCCTCACGGACCTGAGGCCCCTTCCCGAGGCCCTGGCTTCCCGCTCTCCCTGCATTTTCCTGTTTTTCCACAGTTGCGCCGATGGATCTGGGAATAGGCATGTGATCCATTTGTGATGACAGGGTCTTAAACACAGGCTCCTGGGTGGTACGGTAAAGATTTTCTTCCCTGGAAGAAAAGACGTTTCCTCCACTCCCACCCTTTCCCCGGGTGGTACGGTAAAGATTTTCTTCCCTGGAAGAAAAGACGTTTCCTCCACTCCCACCCTTTCCCCGCCTCAACTGTATGAGGGGTCAGGGTGTGTGTGACCAGGGAGAGCTGGATGTCGGAGTGATGGTTCCCAACCAGCACAAACACCAGCCCTCCCCCCGCCCAGAAGACTCCTTAACTTCCTGGGTGCTCGCCTCACACCCAGGGGTGCCAACTCAGTGGGTTGGGCCGGCCTCCAGAACAGACAGAAAAGTGAATTTCGGTTTTTGAGCCCCAGGGCAACGGGACAGAATCTGCAGCGGGGCACCCCCAGGCCGCCACCCCGAGAGGTGGGGGTTGCGGGGCAAGGCCTCCGAGAGGCTCTGGACCCACGCCCAGCCACGACTCCAGAGGCGCTGCAGATGTGTGTGCATAAAAATCAAAGTCCCAGGAATGTTTAAGAAATCAAACCAGTTTATTGAAGTAACAGCAACGTGGTCCCTGTTCATGCAAAGCACACAAACAATTGACAATAAACCTTCGTCCGTAGCAAGTAGTAAAATTTTCATTTTTCATAGAAAAAAGCACACATGTAAGCTGCGGGCTGCGTGAGCCTACAGACAATATGAAACATCGGAACACACGAGGGCGGAAGTGTGAGGGAACCCGAAACCTTGCCTGTGGGCAGGGCGCACACACCCTGCCGGCCCGTCTCTCTGCTCGCCGGACGGTGGCTGAGGACCTATTGCGTACACAAAACTGGAGGTGCTCCTGGAGATCAGGGCTCACAGTTTGTGGTCTTGTTCCCGTTCTCAGAAGAAAAGTGGTCCCCGGTTTCCAGATGTTTGTGAGGATGAGAAAGCACGGAGATGTGGCATTGGGTGAAGGCTCCGTCTGGTAACTGGGGCAGATTGGCACGGCTCCAGGCACCGGGGGCCTGACTGTAACACCCAGGGGCAGACTCTTGCTGAAGTTTCAGATCCTCCTTGAGGTCAGCAAAAGCCCGAAGCAGCCCGGGGCGGTCACTCATTCTAAACCTTGCGGCTGTGGCAGAGGCCTGGCAACGAGAGGGTGAAGCAGGTGGCCCGGTGCCAACAGCTCCTCGTGGACAGTCTTCAGCCCTCGAGACTTCAGCAAGGAGACACAGGACGGGCCAGGCTGAGCTCATTCTTCTGCTCGGACTCCTGGGCTTGCACAGCCGGCCACTCAGAATCACCCCGAGCCCGCAAGGCCTCGGTCCTGCTAATCTCAGCTTGTAAACTAAGAGTTTCGTGGCTTTTACCGAGTCCCTAAAGGGCCCGTGGAGGGGAGCTACTGGCCCGCAGTTTCGGCATTGATCATGGATGCGCCCAGCCGCACCACTCAAGTCTAGGGGCTCTTGTCCAGACCTTCTTGGTTTTCAAAACTTTCTGCTATTGCCTCCGCCCCCAGAGCATTTTGAGGGAGAGAGAGAGAGAGAGAGAGAGATCCTATTTGAAAGTGGCGTGCACAAAGCGGACAGACGGACTGGCCTGGAGGTGGAGGCTGGCACAGCCCCTGCGGCAGAGAGGCCATTTACCACAGGGGCTTCCGCTTCACCGCGGGCTTCTGCTGTGGGTGCTCACGGAGTGACGGCCACAGAGGGCGAGCGCTCCTCACACGGAGCCGGGAGGACGGCGGTGAGGAACAGAAAGAGAAGCCTCCTCGCGGCTCCCCGACTGCAGCTGCGTGACCGCAGACTGTTCTCTCCCCGAGCACCAGCCTCTGCGAGGAACGTGCCAGGAGCCCATCCCGCCCCTGCAAGAAAGCGGGGGGCGGCGGGAAGGCTGGGGAGATGCCACCCAAAGGCAGCCTCTGAGCAGCCCTGCTAGGGCTGTTCTTGGACATCCCAGTGGAACCAATAGACAGCAGGAGTTTGGTTTTTTGTTTTGTTTTGTTTTGTTTTAAAGTGGGCTTCAAACAGAAACACTTGCCAAGCAGAGACCCTGTGTGAGACAGGACAGTCAAGGTGTCCGGGGCCGGCAAGGAGCCGCCCGGTGGGGAGCAAGAAAGAGTCCTGGCCCGTCAGTCGTCAAGAAGACCAAAGGCCAACACAGCTGGGCCACGTGGACGAAGATGACAGAAGTCTCTGGAGTGACTGCTGAACTCTAACCAGGCAGCACTGCTGTGGAGGTGACCAGCCTGCACGGGGCAGGATGCCAGCAAGGACGGGTCCTTGAGGTTCCCCCTCACCAGCCCCCTAGTTCGGCCCATTTGTCTGACCAGCAAACATTAAGCCTGTTTCCCGCCCCCCCATCACCGTGGTATGGGATAGATGGGGGGGTTTCTAATTGTTTAAATAGCAACCTCAGCCCCCTTCTGGAGCCCCCCACCCCCAAGTGTGCTCGCTATGCACCCTCTGCCCCCCACGCCCGAGTGCCTAGACATGAGTTCCCGTTCTCAGTCTCTGCGGGCCTGTGGCCATCCCTGCACCCATAAAAGAACACGTGGCTGCCTGAGCAGCAGCGGCAGCAGGGGCGACCCCAGGCCCCACGGGACTGGTCCTCAGGTGTCCAGCCAGGCCCTGGAGGAGGCTGTTTCCTGCAGTGCAGCGCGTGAGACAAAGGCCAAAGGAACTGACACTGAGTGCTTCAAGGAAGCGGCTCTCCACGTCCCCAGCCCGCTCCCAAGTGACAAGATACAAACAAAAAGCGAGACCCCGAAGCCCTCTGGAACAAGCCCCTGCTCCCCGACACCAGGATTCACTGTCTGACCGCAAAGATCCGGAAGGCCTTCCCGTCGTGAGGGGTCCTCAAGCTGAAAGAGAAGGCGAGGCATGTTACTGAGAGGTCTGAGGGGCCGTCCGCAGTCTGGCGCCGGGAAGGGAGAGCTGGAGCCCCACAGGCCCCCCAGTGAAGAACCATGGCCCAGGGACGCCCCGGCAGTGGCCTGGCAAGAGGCTGTCCGGAGCCAGCTCAGGCGGCAAATTCCACGCTCTCTGCAAACCGCCCTGGATCTAAATCTAGGTCAGCACTGTTAAGTTATTTCCTTTTAGCCCCAGATTACTGGCCCCAGTCTGTCTGCATTGAACTCACCCTCCAAGACCGCCCGCCGCCTGCTTTTTTGCCACCCGTCAACCCAAACAGTGGCCATCTGGTTGACAGCTTTCCTAGGACAGTGTCATAACAAGAGTGCATGGGCCATGATTATTGAAAAGGGACCCAGAAAAACAGAGGGCTGAGCACACAGGTGGGTGCTGGGAAGAGGTCTCTGGCCTTCTTCAGGAAAGGACCATCAGGGTCCTGCTTTTGTGAGCCAGGAGACTCGGCCATGAGAAATGAAGAGACACAGCCCTCATCACCCAGCTCAGAAGAACTATGGTTTTAACACAGACAGTAAACCCCTCAACCGACAGAAAGCCCTTTACCATTTTATGAGGCATGGCAAAGCATGAAATTCACCCTCTCAAAGTGTCCTACTCAGATTTTATGCAGTTATGCAACCATCTCTACGATCCAGCTCTAGGTCGTTACCATCACCCCAAAGAGAGAGTCCGCTCCCACCTATAATCTCTCTCCCACCACACCCCCAGCCAAGGCAATTTTTGTCTCTGGGATTTGCTTATTCTGGGTATTCTTGTAGATGGACTCACACAGTATGTGGCCTTGGGAAAGGCTTCTGTCCCTTAACATAGCATTTGTGCGGTTTTTTCACGAGGGAGCAAGAATCGAGTCTGCCCTTCCTTTTTATCGCCAAATAATATTCCACTGCATGGAGAGGCCAGGTTTTGTCCATCCTCTCCTCAGTCAGTGGACACTTCAGTTCTTTCCAGTCTTTGGCTGTTTCACATACCGCTGCTCTGATACTGATGGAACTAGGCTTTCGATTCCTTTGACATAACTGGGAGGGGAATTGTTAAGTTCTATGGCCACTGTTTTTTAAACAACTGTCCAAATGTCTTTCCAAAGAGGCTGTACCACTCCAGTAGCACAGGGGCTCCCAGCTCCCCCAAACCTCAGTCAACACCAGACACTGTCTGACCCACCAAGAACAGTCTGTAGTGACTGTTCTTATTCAGCAACCTCGGATTCCTAAGTATTAAAGTATTATAATATAATTAACTGAATCCCTACGCATATAAATTTAATTATCTCTAACATCTTTTTTTGTGTGTGTGCAAACGATACTACAAAGAACAGCCCTGACCACCAAGCTCCCTGCATACATATGAGCACACCTGCAGACAGGCCAGGGGTGGGATTGCTAGATCAAAGGAAATACGCATTTGTGATCTGAACAGTGGCTCATAGTGCCCTTCATAAGGCCCAGCCGATGGGCTGGGGCTACAGCTGAGCCCGAGTGCCCTGCTCAGGCTGCACACAGCCTCCATGACCTGGAGGTCACTCATAGTCCATCTAGCTCAGGAATGGCCTCCAGTCGTTAAAATTTGCATCTCGCTTGTTATGAATAAGTTCAAGGGTAACATTTACAGCCCAGGCATGAGTGAAGCCCGATTTCCTTTAGAGGGGCCCAGCTTACAAACCATGGACTGGCCCTGGGGAAGCGCTGGCCACCGCCAGCAATCCTTGGGGAGCAGACTGCTTGGAATTCCTAGCTGTTTCCCCTGCTTTTGCCACAGCAGCTCCACACTCTTGGCTACCCTGGGATTGAACTTCGGAAATGTATATCAGATGGAAGCACTTGGCACTACAGAGACAGGAAGAAAAGCAAAGCGCCAAGACACAGCTGAAAGCTCGGCTTCATGGCCGTGGGCCAGCAGCTCCCCACCGGGCACTCGAGGCAAGAGGGGCCCGCCCAGGGGATGGGGTTCGTCAGGCGGCCTTTGCAGTTTTTGGAAGGCTCAGGAGACAAAGGGCCCTCCTCAGGCCTCCAGGCTGTAAGACTCCCTGGACTTAAATGCAGTCCTGGGGGAACTTCCCTGAGCCACAGGCAGAGGCCAGTCCGTGGGCTGGCAAGCCACGTCGGGCTGAGGACCAGGCTTTGCGTCTCCCCGACTTCCCGCCGGAACAGACTTCCCATCTATGGACAGCAGCGTCCCAAACAACCTGGGACAAGGGGATCAGGCTGCCATCCAGACAGGCTTCCCCAAGGACCCTGACATCTGGACATCCGGTCGATGCATGGTAGCATGCATCCCGACTGGACAGGGCGTCCACCTGGGGCAAGAGCACATCCCGAAGAAGAGGGTGTAGGTTTGGCACATCGAGCAGTGAGCTGTGCACTCTGAGGGGTCAGTGTGGCAGCACCAGGTGTTGGGCCATCTACCGCACCAGGCAAGGAACCTACTGGTTTGGGGTATGCAAGAAAGGATTGGGTGACTCCTTGTTTGCTTAGACTTCAATAAACTGCAGTTATGACAGGTACTTAGCTGTGTCTTTTGATGAAAGACAGGTGTGGACTGACCCCATCCTCCTTTCTCAACATTCCCTCTGATTCGGGAATAGTCTATAACTCCTGTACCTACACCCAGGGAGTGCAAATGGGCACAGCATTTCTGGGCAATTTTCATATAAAGTATGGAACCATTTTAATAAAGAGCATTGAACAATTTTCTAAAGAGTATCAGCTATCTGTCATTCTGAACTCAGCGACTTGTCTGTCACTCAACCTGTTTTTACTGGGCACCTACTATGTGCCAGGCACTGGGGTGGGTATAGCAGGGCACTGGTGTGGAGTTCTCACCTATGCAGAGGTGTAGTCTAAGGATGGGGCAAGAGAGAAACAGCAGAAAAAGTGAAAGAAATCATCTCAGTGATGGATTCCTGGAGGAAAATGTCATGGGGGCAGGAATCGGGCCAGGTCAGATCAGGCAAGCAACGTGTGCAGAGGGCAACATGGACTATGTGTTGGGGGTGTGCTTTTTGGGAGGGTCGCAGCATTCGTGTTTACATCTGAATGACAAGAGGAACCCAGCCACAGGAACACACAGGAGCTGAGAGGGTCTGGGGCTGGGTAACAGCAGGTGCAAAGGCCCTGAGGTAGGTGCAGGGAACAGAGAAGGTTGGTGAGGAAGAGACGCCAAGAGGCTGAGGAGTGAGAGCCAAGAGGAGGAGAGGCAGGCAGGGGTGGCAGGCTTTACAGAGGAGAGACATGAACAGTTTGATTTGGCGACTGTGGCTAGCGAGGAGTTTGATTTGGCGACTTTCTACTGAACGAAAATTCCTAAGGATCTTGTCAGGAGAGTGCAAGGGTGTGGGCAAAGATGTTTTCTGCAGCGCTGCTTACAACAGTAAGAGAAAGTGAAGGAAATGACGCAGATGTCCTTGAACAGGGTGAAGAAAGCCCAGTCACTGCACACACTGGGACATGCAGCCGCAGGGTCTCAGCGTGGCTACGTGGATGTGACTGCAGCGGTGGTTGCCACCCACCCCTGACCGAGAACACCACGCACAGAGGGCCTCGCTTGACCCATGTTTGTAAAAATCAAAACAAACCAAAAAATCTCCAAGTAAGTTGTTCATGTATCAACAGAGAACTGGAAACACACCAGAAGAAAGCCGCTCACCTTTGCACACAGGTCAGAGTTGTTAAAACCAAAGGCCAAGGATGCTGTCTGTCATGTGGGTGTATTTCCCAATCTCCTAATGAAATTTGTCTTTGCAAACAGGCCTGATCTAAGCAAAAATTCTGGATTCATATTTGTCCTGATGTCCATCTTCCTCCCGAGAATATTCAGACAAGCCCGGGGCGGACAGGTGAAGTACTTCTGGACACTTTCCCCTTCTCTGCTCTCCTTCAGGACACGCATGTGGGGGCAGGGGCGCCTGCCCCCGACACTGTCCCAAACCCCCTGGCCACCTTTCAAAACTTTCAGGAAATCCTCTTTTGAGAAGGGGTCATTGCTAAACCAAAACCACTTTGAAGCAGAACCAGTTCTGACTGCGTGTAAATTCTCCTCAAGGGGTTTGGCTGTGTGTGATGCATTTCTCCAAATTTAGAACCGACTGAATGGACGCAAAGTACCCAGTGCCCACATCTCCCTGGGGACTATCTGAGGCCGCTCTAGGATCCCAGCAGAGGCTGGGGACAGATTCACCCCCTGGCTGGGCTTGGTTCCCACGGTCCCTAATAGAAACAGACGGGAATTTTCTCAGCCCAGCCTCTGCACTGGGAGGGTTGCTGAGGTTCCATGAAACAAGGGGCGGGCATCATATCCGCCGGCATCACCACGGACCGTCAGACGGTCCTGGCTCCTGCGCCTCCCGGCCTAACAGGGACACCCTGTGCCTGCCTAGTGGCGTCACTATTTCCGCAGTGTCTGCTCCCCTCCTTGGCAAGACACATGGGGGGCAGAGACCTTATGTGTTCCCAGCTGGGGCTCCGTGAGAGCTCACCCGTATGAGACGGATGAGGGAGCGTCAGAAGGATGGACGCAGGGATGGAAGGACTCTTTCCTGTAATGCTTTCTCCCCTGTCCTGGAAGATAGTTCACACGGGCTATCTCTTATGATGGAGTCACTTGGCCCAACGTGAAACAGCTACGTCTATGACGGACCGTAGCCACGAAGTCGGGCAACAAGGAGCCAGCCCTGCTGGAGGCTAACTGAGGGCCTGGAGAAGGAGGGCCCCCTCATCCGCACAGCAGCCACCAGCACGGCAAAGCTGTGCAGATGCTGACCTCAGGGCACCCCGCAGGGAAAGGGAGCTGGCCCCACGCCGTGGGGTGCACCCTCCTGCTCCTGGCTGCGTGGATGCAGCCCCCCCGCTCACAGTCTCAGCGCAGGTGCTACCACACCTGTGCAGCAAGTACCTGGTCACAAAATCTCAGCGCACCATGAACAAGGTTCCCTTCCCCGACCGACCCTCGGACAGCGGATACCACCCGGGATGTCACCCTTGGCTGCCGGCAGGCCCCAAGACCAGGTCACACACTGCTGAGCCCAGCCCTGGTTTCCAGTTCAGTAGGCCTGGGGTGGGCCCCACTCTGCTTTTCAGGTGATCTGGCTGCTGCTATCTGGGGGGTCCCGGTGGGGGACCTCTGTCATCTCCCCGGGACAGGGCCCCCTCCCCTTCCTAGGCAAGGAGAGTGCAAGGCAGTGAGGGCGACAGACCGCTCGCTCTGGCATGATCACCATGATCACCACGGCAGCCTGCAGGCGGGGCAGGAGGGGCCACCCAGGGAGAGGGAGCTGATGTCTTCACTGGGGACACTTGGGAGCCCACTGGGGCTTTCCAAGCAGCGAGGCAGGTGGCAGCCACCCCAGGCCGGGAAGGCTTCCTGGGAGACTGCGGCCGGGTGGATGCCTCGGCAGGAGGAGACAATGGCCTCCCGGGGGGCTGAGGGGGGGCGTGGGTGGTGACAGGGAAGGAGCCTCCTAGGGACCCCTCCGGGTCCCCTGCTCTCCCCACACACCTGTCTGCGGGCAGCCTGCTGGCAGCCGTGATATTCTCAGCACAACAGGCAGGGGGACAAAGGCAGGGCCCCTTCGGCAGCCCTGAGGCTGCTTTCTCTTAAAGGAGTCTAGACAGCTCCAGAGACTGGTGTTCTGGGATTTCTTTCCAGCCAGCCAGGAAATTCTGCCTCATCAGCAGTTTCATTCCCTCCCATTAAATCAGTGGAATTTCCCCTTCACGAAGCTTTTCCCAAACAAGGTTGCAAATGTTGAAGGAGAAAACACAGACACCACTAGACCTGGCTGCTGGGCCCGGGGAGAACCGGACTTGGGAGTTGCCTGACCCTGGGGGTCTTTCTGTCCAGCACCCTGCAGTGGGAGGGGAAGGCCGGGAGTGGGAAGGCCTGAGCTTCCGAGTGCCTGGCACACTTTGAGCCCTTCACTATAGATTCTTTGTCTGAAACAGGCCCTGCAGTCTGTGATCTCCAGTGCCACCCTCTGCTGTGGCTGCACTGTGTCCCCTGCAAACTCCTGCGTGGGAGCCCTCGCCCTCAGGACCTCAGGTGTGGCTTCCTGGAGAGCGGGTCTTTAAAGGGGTGAACAGGGTAAAACGAGGTCACCAGGGTGGGCCTAGTCCGCCGTGAGTGATGTCCTTGCAAGAGAGCAGCTAAGGACACAGGCAGGTGCAGCCTCGTGAGGACAGGGGGCGACGGCCTCGACGGGCCCGGGGAGTGGCGGGGGCCTCGAGAGGAGCCAGGCCTGCCCACAGCTGGCTCTTGGGCTTCCCGTATCCAGGACTGAGGCAACCAATTGTTGCTGAGGCTCCCGGCTGGGTGTTTGGTGACCCTAGAAACGCATACACCCCCACTTGGATCTGCTCCCCAGCAATTGTGATCATCATTCCTGTGTTTCATGTAGAGGAACTGAGGTTTGGGGAGCCCAGTGCCATGCTTGAGATCATGGGGCTCTAGAGAGGAAACCCTGGGGTTGGATGAGGACTCTGAGCTGCAGGCCTGTGACTTGCCACCACGGACACTGGTGACCACGTGAGGATGAGCAGCGTGTGCCAGGAAGCAGACTGGCAGCCTGCCCCAGGGAGGGGACCCTTCCTGGAGAATATTCTGAAATGGCACGCCCAAAGCCTAAGAATTCTGCACAGCCTTTGACCCCAAAATGCCACTGCCAGGGATTCAAGAGAGCGGTCGTGGTGCAGGCCTCTCCAGGGAGGGTGCCGTCAGGATGGCCAGCAGCCTCCAGGTGGAGAGAATGCCACCCTCCGACCAAGGAGGGAGGTGGTGCTGGCTCGCTGTGACTCTGTCGTGTTAGGGGACACAGAGAGCAACTCTGTGACCTAGGAAGTGTAACGACAGAGCTGTAAACACGGCCACCACACAGAGTGCTCCTAACCGCCAGGCTCTGATAGGCGCCCCAATTCACCTGCCCAGCAGCCCTGTGAGGTCACCCCAGATCACAGACCCGAGGTCGAGTCTCCGCAGGTCACAGTGGAGAAGCAGAACCACCCGGTTAGGTAGTAGTTTGCAGCTACGGAATTACAAAGTGTATGTAACTAGAATTTGATCCCAACTTTTTTTGTTTGGGGGGGAATCCATTTGAGCAGTATGTGCACACATGTGAATGCACACACACACACAGACACAGGGGCCAAGGTGCATATATAAAAAAATCTAACAGTAATTTTCCCAGGTGATAGGTTATATAGCTGGGTGCTTTTCCTGGGCATACCTGATGCTTCTAATTTTTTCAACAAAATCACAGTTTGGTAATAGAAAAAAGTCCTTGTGGAAGAAAGGAAGAAGAAACAGGCCTGACCCAGAACACTGCAGGCCTGCCCAAGTTTGAGGTAAGTGGACAGAGCAGGGGCTGGCCTCCCAGGCTCCCAGTGGGCCACCCCACTGGCCATGAAGTCCAGGGTCCAACCACTCCCTACCTTTCAGACTGAACCCCATTCCTGAGAGAGCCCACGTAGGTCTTCTTCTTATCCACTGGCATCACATCTGCGTACCCTCCGCTCTCATTGCTGATGACACCCGCATGCACGGCAGCCTTACAGATGCTAGAACTCTGTAAGCACAGGAGGAGGTGTGAGCCGTGGGGAGGATGGGCTCCGGTTGGAGTCGACCATGACTTGGATGCCCAGTGGGTGGGGTATCAAGCAAGCCACCCCTAGAAATAGTCATGGTAAATTGATCCCTCCAGCATCAGAGAAAACCCGGTGTCATTCATTTGCTAAACAGATCTTTTCTGAGCAACTACTATGTGCCAGGGTTTATACTGGATACATGGGAATTCATCACGCAATAAAATAAAGATGCTTCAGGGAGCCAAGAAATACAGACACATGAACATATACACAAATAAGCAATTCTCACTGTGAAGAAAATAAAGCCAGGTCAGGAGAGCAAGTGACTGGATGGAGGGGGGGTTCTTGGAAATAGTTACGCAGGGAAGGTGGTTCTTGACGCCCACTTGGAGCTCAAGTAAGAATGGCAGAAAGGAATCAGCCATGGCCTTGGGAACTGCAGTGGGCAGAGCATCCCGGGCAAAGGGAGCCGCTTGTGCAAAGGGCCTGGGGTGGGAGCGAGCTCATCATGAGAAAGAGGGCTCACTGCTGGCTTTGCAGATGGAGGAGGGGCCACAAGCCAAGAAAAGTGGGTGGCCTTTCAAAATTGAAAAAAGACAAGAAAAAGCTTCTGCCCTGGAAGCTCAGGGGTGACCCCCTGCTGACACCTGGACTGTGGCTGACACCCCTTACACCCCTTCAGACTGACTGAGCCCATGTGTCTGAAATTAGGCCACTGGAGCCTCACACAGCTTCTAACCGCATTTAGAGCAAATATGTCCATTTTTAAGCCCCTTCTTATAGTTGAGGACTTCGATTCTACAGAAAACAGTGGCACCAGGAGAATGGCACCCCAGACATGCGCTGGCACCTTGTCGGGTGCCTGTAAGACAAAGCTTCCCTCCCCGCTGGAGACCTCCCACTCCATTCTCTGGAGGATCTCTGGACACCAGTGACTCAGAAATTTTCTGTGATGATGTTGGATGTGGAAACCTTCAATTCCGGCCAGATCTTTCTCATGCTCCTGGTCTTCTTCACCCATCTCCATCCCTGCCGCCAGCTCTTCTCTTCCTTTTCCTCCCTTCCTCCTATCACACCCGCTTCTCCCATAGCTGCTGTCAGGGCACAATGTGTATTCTTTCCTTTCTCAGGCTCCAAGCAGCTGAATATCTGAATATTTATTAACAGCCGCTATCAGCTGAGAGCTGGTCTCAGGGAGGTGGAAGCTGACTCTCAATACACCACATGAGGGTGTATGGCCCTAGATGATGGGTTGTGACCTCCTCTTCCCAGCAGGAAGTGAGGGTTTCATAGGGAAGAGCTCTGAGCATTTACAGGCTGGCCTGTTTTGAGGGTTCCAGTATAGTAATCTCCCAAGGACCCCAACGTGGATATTCTTATTATTCCCTCTTAACAGCAAGGAGATTGGGGTCCAGGAAGGTTCAGTAACTTGCCCAGAACTACTCAGCTTTGTGACAAGGGCAAAGAGCAGGATCACAACTGCCATCCAAAGCCATGAACATGGGATGACTGAATGGAGAGGGGTTACGGGGTGAACATGAGGTTAAATAAGACTGGGTTTGCTGCAGGCCTACACACAGCAAGTGTCTATAAGACAAATACCATCGCACTGTGGAAAAGCCTCCAGGAAGTCTTCAGTCTAATCCAGGGTCCTCACCATGCAGCCCTGGACAGTAACAGCATGTGCCTTGTGGGAATTTGTGTGAAATATAGATTCTTTTGCCCCAGGCAGACACACTAAAACTGACATGGACTGGGGCCAGGGAAACTGAGCAAGCACTCTGGTGAATTCTGATGCAGGTACAGTTGCAAGACCCTATCTATCCACCAAAGGAGAAAGATAAGAAAATTTAGATGCTAATGGGGAAAAGCTGCCCCCACCCCAAAGTGGTAAATGTCAGAGCCTAGGCTTAAAACCTGTTGCTCTTTGGGTGAGCTCCTTCCCACAGCTCACAATGGCAAGAGGCCCTGCCAAGTCAGGCGCTCCAAAAACCAAAGTAGGAACAGAGGGCACCTTGACGTCCTTTGAAAGCCTGGAGACAACACTCCCAATATATCTCTTAGCTAAACAGACATTTCCATAAGGCATCATTATTTCCCAGAATACAGAATGAACTGGAAACCCAGCCAGAAAAGCAGCTTTGCATCCCAGGTTACGTTCTTCCTTCCCTCCCCCTCCTTCCTTCCCTTTCTCTTGCTCTTCATTCTTTTTTCCTTCTTTCCTTTCTCCTTTCACTCTTCTAATCTCTAAACAATGTCTAAGTATTGACTACTTTCCTTTCCTTTCACCTTTCACTCTTCTAATCTCTAAACAATGTCTAAGTATTGACTACTTTCCTTTCCTTTCACCTTTCACTCTTCTAATCTCTAAACAATGTCTAAGTATTGACTACTGTAGTGTCTTCATTTATTTATTCCTTCAACAAACATTGAGTGAATCATTATTGTGTCAAGCTAGGTCTCAAATACTATGGTCCCAGAGCCCCTAATTAATACACAAGTCAGTTAGGCTACACCAGGGTTTTAATCTGACCATCTGCAAGCACCAGTGTAATTATGAGTGCAGACACATTCATGGAAAGCTGACTAAAGCAGGGGAAAATACCAACCAGAACCAAGACACACCCTTATTTGCATCTCATCTGGGCCCTGTGTCAGTTGTGTGATTTGGGGCAGGTTATTCAGAGTCTCACTTTCCTTTTCTAAAAAATGAGGATAATGGAGTTTTTGAAGAACCTATAACATAGTAGGTGTTGAATAAGAGGTAGTTTAATATCACTTGTAAGTTCTCACCAAGTTTCTCCCTACATTTCTAATTTTGTTTCTCTTTATGGTTTTACTTGCTAAGTTGTTTGGTGCATACAGATTTGATTTTTAAATCTTCTTCATAAATTGTACTTTTTGTGCCATTGTATGACAAATTATGTTGTCCTTTTTAGTAGGTCTCCCTTAAGTTCTACTTTATTGGGTAGTAATAGTGCCTTTATTTGTTTGTTCATTTTTATTTATTTGTTCATCTTTGGGTATTTGGTTGGAATAACTTTCCCTGCCTATCCTTTATTTTTATAGACTATTAAAATCAAAGATACTATCTTTTAACAGCAGACTTTTTCAAATGTCTAGAGTAACAATTGATATACATTATTTTATTCTTTTATTAAACTTTTACATCTCAGTTTTGCCTGAGCAACTTTCAAGAAATAAGACTCTGTTAAAAAGGAAAGACAGAAAGCTTAGCCATTAAAGTTGCTTTGACCTTAGAGAGTTCGGTGACCTCACATTTTCAGGAATCTGGAACAAATGAAAGCAGATGGAGGCAAAGATAGTAGTGGTGGGTGAGGAGAACCACAAAAATGTACAGGAAGAAGGGCTAAGTAAAAATGTTAGCCTGGGGTGAGTGATACCAGTATCGATTCATGGATTTGAAATCCAGAAGCCTCCCTGAAGTAAAAGTCCCAGCTTGCTCATTCTACAGAAAGGTAAATGACTTGGCAAGAAGATCACAAAGTCTTTCAGCAAAGCTGTGACTACATGTACATCTTCTAGGTTACCATGTCCCAAAACCTTGGAGGTAACAAATTGTGTCCTGGAGGATTCACTTTAAAAAATCCAAGCTAATGTTTACTCATTAAAGAGGGGGAAAAAAAAGAAAAAATAGACACTAATATAATGAGTGGTCTTGCAAGTAGTAAACAGAAGTAATTTGTATTTGGGGTTTTTAGCTAAGTGTGTGCATGGCCAAAAGGAAACGCAGAGAGTGGAGTGGGCCGTATCTATAAATGCATCAGGAAAGCCAGAGAGAGTGCTGGACATCTGGGGAAATGAAGTATGCGATGCATGAGACCTTTGCTTTAAAAACACAAGTCAGCCAGGAGACAGGTTTCAACTTATGGTATGACAACAGCTATGTAAGAGGAGTAACACCTACATCTATATTCCTCATAAGCAGGGGAAAGCAGTAGAAGCTTCATAAATGGGAAACAAGAGCAATGGTCTAAATTTAGGCCCAGGGTGGAGATATCAGGTACCCAGACCCTGGGATGCACTTTCAGTGGTCTTAACAGGCTGAGAGAAGTGATCAATAAAAATACCAGGATACTCACGTCTGCGTAGATATTGGTTCCAAACAGAGGAGCCCAGTGGGATGGCTCATCTTTGCAGAGCGCTGGACAACGAACTCTGAAAAACCAGCAGCATTTATCTGAGCGTTAGGGATCAACAACACTCGAGAAGCAGCTGACCCGCTTTATTTGAACTTCAAGATTGAAGAAATTTGATGCAAGGAAACTACCATAGTTTATGTTTGAGAAAAAAAAACCTTTCCCACCCTCACTGGGGTAAAGACATTTTTCTTCTTAAGCAGTGCGACAGAATATGGAAGCCCCTCACTAGGAGACAGGCACAAGTAATGAGGTGAAAGGGAATAAATATCTAAGGGAGCTGAGTGTGGGATTGTAAGAAGCTGAACTTCCCAATTTTGGGTGTTGGCTATGGGTACATTATGGAGATTATAGTCAATAGACTTTAAAAGCCATTTCCCTGTGTGGGGGAGGATGGGTGGAGGGCCTTCACCTCAGTGAGTCAGAATATTCCAGGGAGGGGGCTCTGATAACCTGAGGCAGAAAAGGGTTAGCTCATGATTGTGTCAGTCACCACATCCCTGCCCAGGGCACAGGGCATGAAGAGATTGTCTCAAATTGGAAGAGGGTGGGCCGCGGGTGATTTGAGGGATCCAAACCTGGAACAGGTACAAGCTTTACTTAAGAAAAGGTGTTTTGTTTTGGTCTGGAACAGTATACCTTAGGCTGGAGCCCAGAGACCAAGAAACCAAAATGGCGGCTAGACACCATCTGGCCCCAAGACAGGCAGGTTCTGAGAGCAAAGAAAGCTAGTAGAATCAGTCCTGTGGAGGCAGATAGCAAGGGTGGATGGAGAAAAAGAGAGAGAGAGAGAGTGCACACATTGCTTGAAAAAGAAAATGAATTTGGGAAAGAAACACATACTCCAATTTTTAGAAGAATGGGTCAAAAACTTAGATTTGGATATTTGTATACTGTCCAATTTTTCTGGAATTATTTTGTCCTGCTTCTCTATCACTTGGAAAAATCTATTTAACCTAGTTATCACCACCACAGTGGGGCCCAGTCTGGTGAGGCAGCCTGAGGGGCAAAGGGATAGCAAAGGGGAGAGGCCAGGGACCCACCCAGCCCCCCAACCTTCACAGCACTGAACAGGGTCTCTGCCTGCTCACACCTCAGAGGTCTCCACCAACTGCTTTTAAGCAGGTTTTTGAGAGCAGCGTTTTGAGAATGAGATAGGGATGAGGAGATTGTCTCAAATTGAGAACCCACAAGCTGCCAGGCCCAGGATGAGACATCTCTGGATGGTACCTCACACAACTGAGAAGGTCCACTAAGTAAGTATCCGAGAAAAAAATGTTACAGGATACCCCTAAATCATCCAATTACCCATTGGATAGATGCCTGTAAGACCTACTCTTCAGACAGACACACTGAGTGAGATACAGCTACACAATGGTGAATAAGAAGCTGCAGACCTGCTCAGGAAGAGGCGGGAAAGTCTCAACAGCATCCCACAGAGTGACAGAAGCCAGACACAGGTCTACCTGCTGTGGCTCCATTTCTAAGAAATTCTGGGAAAGGCAACATTATAGAGACAGGAAGGAGATCAGTGGTTGGCAGGGGTATAGGGGGAGGTAGCAGGAAAGAGACTGACCTCCGAAACTTTCCGGTTGTTGAAAAGTCCGGCTCTCTGGGTGGGTGTAGGTTGCTTGCCTGTGTGCTTTGGAATTACTAACTCAGTAGGTGGTTTCTGCCCCCTCAATGAAGGCTTTTGCATCTCAATAATGCCAGGTTTTCATGCTACTTCCTAAGTGGTATGGCAATATCCCAAATCAGCTACAAGAATCAGTGAGCTGATTTTAAGGAGACAGAAAACACCAGGGCCCCATATTCACTGATGAATTGGCCCCAGGCACAGGAAGTCAGATGCACCAGTGCAGCTTCTCTCCCTGGGAATCAAGGCAGCAGCTAGGTGTCAAAGTCACTTTCTCTGCGCTCCACACAGGACTCAGCGCCTCACGCACAGTGGGAGCACCCAGAATCTT